AGGAATCATTCTCGTCGTTGAATACCGAAATTCGAGTTGACCAGGAATCCCCCCTCTTTAAAAAAAAATAATTTTGAAGAAGCTAGTAGGTTTATTAAAAATTTGAAAAAGGATCGAATGAAATTCGAATTAACCAGGATCTCCTCCCCTCTTCTTTACAAATAATTTTCGATAAAGAAGCTAATAGGTTTATTAAAAATTTGAAAAGAGATCGAACGCAATACCTTCATTGGATACCAAAATTCGAGTTGATCAGGAATCTCTCTTTAAGAAATAAAATAATTCTCGGTGAAGAAGCTAGTAGGTTTATTAAAAATTTGAAAAAGAATCGAATGAAATTCGAATTAACCAGGATCTCCTTCCCCCTCTTCTTTACAAATAATTTTCGATAAAGAAGCTAATAGGTTTATTAAAAATTTGAAAAGAGATCGAACGCAATTCATTGGATACCAAAATTCGAGTTGACCAGGAATCTCTCCTCTTTAAGAAAAAATAATTTTCGGTAAAGAAGCTAGTAGATTTATTAAAAATTTGAAAAGATTTATTAAAAATTGAATCGAACGCGATATCTTCCTCGTCATTGGATACCGAAATTCAAGGAATTGACCAGGAACCTCACTCCCCCTCCTCTTTAAGAAATAAAATAATTCTCGGTAAAGAAGCAAGTAGGTTTATTAAAAATTTGAAAAAGGATCGAATAAAATTCGAATTAGCTAGATCTCCTCTTTACAAATAATTTTCGATAAAGAAGCTAATAGGTTTATTAAAAATTTGAAAAGAGATCCGAAATTCGAGTTGACCAGGAATCCCCCCTCTTTAAAAAAAAATAATTCTCGGTGAAAAAGCTACTAGGTTTATTAAAAATTTGAAAAAGAATCGAATGAAATTCGAATTAGTTAGATCTCCTCCCCCCTCTTTAAGAACAAATAATTTTCGGTAAAGAAGCTAATAGATTTATTAAAAATTTGAAAAGGAATCGAACGCGATATTTTCCTCGTCATTGGATACCGAAATTCGAGGAATTGACCAGGATCCTCACTCCCCCTCCTCTTTAAGAAATAAAATAATTCTCGTGAAAAAGCTACTAGGTTTATTAAAAATTTGAAAAAGAATCGAATGTAAAGAATCGAGTGTAAAGAAGCTAATAGGTTTATTAAAAATTTGAAAAGGGATCGAACGCGATACCGTTCTCCTCGTTGGATGCCGTTCCTTAATTAAGACGCCTAGAAATTAATTAATTGGAGCGCAATAATCTCCCTTCCCAAATTTTTCTCAAATCTTTCTTCGCCGAAATAAAATATTTCTCTACTGAAGTAAAAGTAGAAGAACGATGGAGGAACGATGAAAGAAAGAAAGAGCGTTCGAATATTCGCGGTATCGCGTGGGCAACCGATTATTTCAAGTCCAATTCGATCGAGGCGAAACGAAGAGTTTGAACGGCGATTAAGGAGAACCGTGTCCGTGAATGGGGAGAGGTGGAAGGGAGAGAGGTCGAGTTCCCTCGGCCATTGTCGCTTCGTTACATCGATTTCCCTTCGTATATCCAGCGCACGGGCCAATTCCAAGATACTTCTTCTTCTCGAGAAAGTGTTGGAGTTAATTGTCCTCCAACAGAACAGCGATAAGTTTCCCCACAAGCCCGGTTATCTCGCGTTCAAATATACCAGAGATTCCGTGAACACGGCGAAAACACGGGTAAGAAAATACAATTGCTCCTCGATTATCGGTCTTACGATTCTCCCTCCCTCGCGCAAACTAAGAAGGAGGAGGAGGAGGAGATCGTCGAGTTTCGAGCCACAAAGATTCCAGGGATAAGAGAGAGTCGTTCTTTGAACGAAACTTTCCGAAACGAAAACTAGAAGAATCAAAGGAAAGAGTGTCTCTTTGGATTACTTTCCCACCGGTTGCCCTTTCTCTCTGTTCCAGTGTTCAAAGTGTAAAAAAAAAAAAAAAAGAGAACCACTCGATTTTCACTTTTTACCTCCTCCTCCTATTTTATTATTATTATTATTATTATTATTATTTATTTTATAAAATTATCTCGAACCTAACCATCGATTCGCCATTTTTCCATTTAAAGTTTTAGATAAGATTATCTCTATCTCGAAGAATTCCCCTACAAAAGAGAAGAAACAATTCGAAACAACTCGAAACAACGCGTCGAGGTTTGCTCGTAAAGTCGAGGAGGAGGAGGAGGAGGAGGAGGAGGAGATTACACCCTGCTGCTGTAAATTGGCCGGCCCGCCGTCCCGTGAACGATTCGCGTTTAAATTCGCTGTGGAGTAAGCCGGACGGAAGAAAGGACACGGAGGAATAAACGTTGGGGGGGGGGGGATAGGAAACTCTCTCTCTCTCACGCTTCGTTGACGTTTCGCCGGTCGTTCGATGGTTAGCCACGAGTTTTAGCTCCATCTCCGGAGAGGAGAATACCCCCCCACTCGAGATTCGCGAGAAACGAAAGGAGTTGACGTTTCTCCACGGAAGGAAGGATTTTATTAACCCTCGACGTTTCGTGCGCCAACTCGAGAGGCGGCGGTCTTTGTCCGCGCTAGATTTCTTTGTTGTTCTCGAATTAATAAGAGCGCGGTATCCTTGCCTCTTTATCTCTTCGTCGTAAACTTTAATTAATCGTTCTAACGATCTTGGCGAAAAGTATTATATAGTTTCGTAAATTTTAGAAGCTTTAACCCTTTGCTCTCCAATGGGATTGTCCCGGCAACTTGAACGATATTTATTTATGTTTGATTCTTTCAGAATATCATAAACAGGTTCCTAACCCCTTTATGAGTATAATCTTATGAGTAATTATCTTATGAGGCCACCGAATCTGAGTCTGGAGTCGCTTCGACCGAAACAGGCCTGCAGTGCAAAGGATTAAAAGAATAAGAATGGATTTTGGAAATAAAATCAGCGAACATGAATTCGATCGAAATTATATTCGTTGAGGAATCAGCGGTGGGGAGAATGACAAGCGGCGCCCCGTTTCGAGATTCTGATCATTCAGATACTTCGACTGAAAGAAGTCGTCGAGCGAAATTTTTCGACGCGATTATCATCGACGTGACGCGTCCAGAAGGTAGCCAGTGACTAGGAACAGGGAAACCTTCTTGACGGGGTAAAATAAGGCAAACACACCTGACCCAGATACACGTCGCGACCGCTCGTGCGAAACCGTTCTATGCGACTCCGTTCCGCTCCCGAGTCGAATAAAGCTATTTCTTTTTTCCCAGACGTGCCGCGGTATTCTTCGTTTCTTTTGGAAAGGATAGAAAATGGTGGAATGGGAGAGGAAAAGAGAGAGAGAGAAAAAGAAATAAATAAATTTGATGGGATTTAATTCGTTTTGTGATCTTCGAGCGGAAACGAAGGGTTGGGAATTTTTAGGGTGGAAGAAGAACCAATTGTTTTTCTTTTTTTTTTCTCTCTCGTTCGAGACGTTTGGGACGCGGGAACGCGTTCGCTCATTGTTTGTTTCGGAGCTGTATGGAGCGCGACAACTTGCCACGAAATCGCAATATCGAACGAGTTCTCTCTCTCTCTCTCTCTCTCTCTCTCTCTCTTTCCGTGGCTCGAGGGAGAATAATATTGAAATCAGTGTGGTTTGCAAGCACGATGACTGCGACGCAAGTAGGCCAGCTCGAAATAGAAAGCATCAACTGGGGCAGTCAATGGCCAACGTACGATCGTCACCCCACGTTTTTTTTTTCACTCCTTCTTTTTCTTCTTCCTCTTCTTCTTCTTAGTCTTCGTCTTAGTCTTTCCCCTCTGGCTTTCTCCCCCCTTTTTTTCCGATAGAACTGGCTTGATTAGAGGGCACCGCGCCGTTTCGAGCGACCGATTTTTTTCGCGCCTCTCGACCGCGATCTTTCTGAACGCTGCTCGATCGATAAGTAAGTAGCGACAGAGAGAGAGCGTTCGTCAACTTTTTATCCAAGTGGTGGACGAAACGGCGCGTATCGCCTTGCACGCAGCGAAATTTAAATTGGCTTAATATTACGGAAAGTTAAAGTTGCTTCGATTTATTTATCGAAACGAGTGCAATCGCAGCTTACTCGAAAAGCGGGATCAATTATGATAATAATAGGAGTAGACGTTTGTTCGAGCATTTTAATAAACATAAATTATTTGAAAGCAAGTTTATTCGAAATTTTTAACCAATCTTTACTTTCTTCGACAAGTTGTTAACTCTGGAGCGAACGAGTATCGATTAACGCGTCGATAATATGGGCACCATTTCGATTACGATAAGATCGTAATTTTCACCACCGATCGTTTCGATAAAAAAAGAAAAAGACGTCGAGACGTCCGTTAATCGCAGCATGTCTATAGCTATATTTTTACCAAGAGCTCCTCGTCGATCCTCGATCGAGGAGGAGAAGATCCAGGATCGAAGGGGAGTATTCCCTCTCTTTGCACGTGACGTGTAGCGGTTGCGTAAAAGTTTCGTGGCGCCCGCTTTCTCTCTCTTCTATCCACGCGCACGCTCTGCCCGACGGATTCATACTTCTTTCATCGCGCGCCATACCGATTCCTTGCTGTTTGCCGTACAGTAGAGAGTTGCATGGAGTAGGACAACTCGAGTCGAACGCAACGAACGAAGCGCGGAATGTGAAAAATCTAAGTGGATTCCTCTCTCAAAGAAAGAATTCGAAAATATTATCCGTTACGTTTAGCTCGAATTGTCGATCGTTTCAGGCTCTTCGCACACGCTCTGCATCCTCTGTCTCTTTCGTATTCATTCGTTCTCATTATTCATTAATCGGCAGCTGGTGCGAGCAGATTCACATTTCTCTATCCCTCCCCTCCCCTTCTTTTTTTAACGCCACGCCTTTCTTCTTCTTTCTTCTTTTTCTTCTTCTTCTTCTCATCTTCCCCTTCTCCCTGGATCCGTGTCTCGAAGCGAAGTGTCTCGCACCAGTATGTACCAGCGCGTTTTATTTTCTTTTTTTCCACGACGATCCCTCGTTTATGTTGCGTGTTTGTGTTGGTGCAAGGGGCAGGAGATACCGATATACATATGGTACGACTCGTATCCGACCCACAGTGGCGAGGGTTACGAAGGTCGAGTCTCGAGGGTGAGCCCGAACTCACCTTACGGCGGGGCGAGCCTCAACCTGACCGACATCCGCGAGAGCGATCAAGGATGGTACGAGTGCAAGGTCGTCTTCCTCAACAGGTCGCCCAACAAGAACGGTACCTGGTTCCACCTGGACGTCCACGGTGAGTACTCTTTCCTCTTTCTTCTCCGAACAGGAGGAACCGATCGAAAAAAACTGTCGCCTTTCCTTCGTTGACGACCGATCGTCCCGTCGAAAGTCCAAACGCTTCGTCGCATTCTTGTTAAAAGAAGTTATTTTAAATGTTCTTCCAAATTCGATTCTTCGAAGAGAATCGATCGACGAGAAAAAAAAAAAAAAAAAAGAAAAAGAAAAATCAATCGATTTAAGGGAGGGAGAAAGAAAAAAAAAAAAGACTCGTTTAAGCGCGATAATGGAACGAGTTTCTTCGGGGAGTGCAATTTAAGTGGAAAGTTTTTAACCGAGCGCGGCCAAGTTTTTTTTACATCGCTTCTAGCTCCAACCGGTCTCGTTAATATATTATCTCGCGCTTAAGAAGATTTTACGACCGCGACGAGTACCGTGGTACTTTCATTGGCCACTATCCCCTCCCTCTCTTTCCAACGGTCAGCCAATTTTCTTACCTTCGAACCATCGACCGACTCTCGTCTCGTTCTATCGCGAAATTACAGAGGAAAAGAAATAGAGAAAGAGAGAGAAAGAGATAAGATAAGATAAGCGTTGGGTATGAGAGGGGGAAACGGAGGAAGAGGGAAGGGAAGGGGAAGGAAAGGAGAAAGGAAGAAAAAGAAATGAGACGGAAAGTAACGGTATTCCATATCGCGATTCTATTCGATTCTTTGGTTTCGTAAGCGGATGCGCGTAAATAAATAAAGTTTTACGCCAAGGTGTCGTGGGGACATTGAACCGGACAGACAGGGAATGGTGGAACGGAAGAAAAATGGTAGAAAGGAAAACTTACCGCCTCGTTTTCTTTGGCCATAAACGACGGAATGGCCGCGGGGAACTGATGCGTTTAGATGTTTTAGGAAACGGTACGGTACTCTTCCTTCTCTCTCTTTTTCTCCTCGTATCTCTTACGACGTTCCCTCCTTCGCTGTTTTCTCTCTTGTTTTCTCTCTCTCTCTCTCTCTCTCTCTCTCTCACCGAGTTCGTGTACATCGAGCCCACGGCTACACTCGAGTCCACGTCATCGTCGTCGCACGAGGAGGAACGTCGGTGCAGACCGATTGCGACGACTAAGGATTTGCCAACGGCGTCAAACAGAGAAGAACCACTCGACCAAAAACGCTCTTTGTACTTTTCAAATCGTTTCTCTGGCTCTGGTCGTTTACTCGTCTTCGCGCTCCTAAACTATCGCCCCTTCCTTCCTTCCTTCCTTCCTTCCTTCCTTCGTTTTTCTCCTCGAAACTCCTTTTCCGTCCTTCGACGTGTCTTTTCGATTCGATCGAAGAAACAATGACAGGAATGCGATCGCAATATCCACTTGGCTGGCTGCTCTCTTCCTTTTTTCTTTCTTTCTTTCTTTCTTTCTTTCTTTCTTTCTTTCTTACTCTCGTTCTACGAGAGAGGCGCGTTGTCGAGGGATAAAGAAAACGTTTTGCATCGAGCATGATCCCGTAAAACTTGATCAATCGCGTTTCCACCTTTCGACTCGACGATCGACAAGAACGAATCGCGAATCTGGATCTGAATGAAAACCCGCACTACGATCGGGCGTCTCCGCGCACGGAAAAATCACGTTCCACTTTTTTTCGCTCGCGATCTGCTTACAGTTCCAAGAGTGTCGAGGGAGGATAAAAACGATTGGTTGGTTTTCGTAGCGCCGCCAAAATTTAGCATCACGCCGGAGGAGATGATCTACGTGAACGTGGGCGATGCGATAATATTGAACTGCCAGGCGGAGGGCACGCCGACACCCGAGATTCTTTGGTACAAGGACGCGAATCCGGTCGAGCCCTCGTCAACCATAGGAATATTCAACGACGGCACCGAGCTCAGGATCTCGACCATCAAGAGCGAGGACATCGGGGATTACACGTGCATCGCTCGAAACGGAGAGGGTCAAATCAGTCACACGGCCCGCGTCATAATCGCTGGTGAGTACAAACGCGGTTTCCCAAAACTTCCTCTCTTTCTTTTTTTTTTCTTCTTTTTACCACGTGACGTCAAATTTATAATCCCTGTGCGGGCGTGCGTGGAATAGGTTAGGATAGAATTTTTCACGTGCCGGATAATTAATATAGGCCGGATCGGTAGGACAATTATCGAAGCGGCTTGTTATTAGAAGTTATCGGACTATTTTCGTTGGTAGGCGGTAATCGGTCGAACTTCGATAATGAAATTCCGATAACCGCGTCGCTCGATGCAACCAGCTCGTTTTTTGTTCGACCGATTCGCCGGTGATGGAACGTTCACCGGTGATCGAAACCTCGTCCATCGATCCACACTAAATCGGAAACCGGGCACCGCCTTGTTTTTACCGCCTCCTCTCTCCCGAATCCTCCTCGACAACAACGTTTCGGCAATTTTTTTCTTCAGAATTTCTTCCATTCCAGACGAGTATTTTGATTAATTGAAATTCCATCTTATTATCTCGAAGGAATAATAATTTAAATAAATTTCCTCTTCTCCACAGAAAAGAAAGGAAGAAAGAAATTCGTCCCTTCCCGTCTTTCCTCGATTTTCGATGATCGAGATTTCGTTCGTTTCGATGATGAAATTTGCGTTAGGGATTTGGGATCCTCGCGTTGAAACCAATTAGGATGTTGTTCGCGGCGGGGCGCAACGGGTCGTCGAGTTAAAAAGCGATTTGTCTCCCCTTTCCCTTCCTCCACCGGTATCGCAGATTTCTACGCTTCGTTACGTGGCCCCGAGAACATTCATCTTCGTCATCGCGCCGAAATCTTTCTTTCCCCTCTGCGGTTAACCGATTTTCTTCGTCCTCTTCGTAATCGAGATCTAAAGATCAGTCGAGGACGAAATTTTCACGTCCTGCTCGACTTCGATCCGACACGAGCGCTCGAAAAATTCGTTTTATCCGCGAAAAAGAAAAAAAAAGATTCGTAAAGATAGGAAGGAGGAGGAAGAGGGGGAAGAGGAGGAAAGTTCCGTGGAAAGTTTGTGGACTAATAAATCGTGGAGTCGTGGCGTGCAGTCACGAACGAACGAACGAACGAACGTCCGAATCGTGTATGCAAAGTAGACATAGGCTCTCGTATAAAACACCGTTGACAGACTGTGCCATTAATGCGGAGGATCCTCGAGCCCAACCGAACTTTGCTCCGCCCGTTCCCGTCAAACTTTTGAATCCGAGCTTTGAATATTTACCGACCTTTCCTACTCCCAAATTCATCCGTCGCGACGTCCTCTTTCTCTTTCTCTCTCTCTTTTTCTTCTCGCATCAATGAAAACACCAACACAGCGACGCAACATCCATGATTTTGCATCTTAATAAAACAAAACAATTTCCCAGCCTTTGTTCGTCTTAAAGCTATATAATATATCTACGTGGTGCTGCATCGATCGTGGTTTCGACTTTACACCTCCGGTATTCTCAGATTCATTACTCTCGCGGGTGAAAAGTTTGAAATCTGGCTTGTGAATATTTATCGAGCGTCCGGATTCTAAATTCATCGCGTTGCCAATCCACGCGCGTTCGGATTTCGTTAAATTTCATCGTCGTCGTTTATCAGCGGATTCTTCGTTTTGTTCTTCCAACTTAACTTGCCGCGTTTTCAACGTAGCGAAATTCTACCGTAGCGCGAGCTATCTATCTTTTCACGCCCGTGGTTGCGGTTTCAAGCGAGGTCGATTCGACCGTACCACGTTTCATTGTTTCGAAGCATCGACGCTCGACAAATGCCCGTGCGCGGCGCCACCATCGAGATTCAATCGAACGACCGTTGATTTTCAACCGTCGTTCAACTTTGCGATGTAAACCGCGCGGAAACGAAGAATCGAAAAGAAGGAATGTGTTGCCGAATTAATTCCCGTCGACGGATCAGAATCCTCCATACTCGTTCTGCCCCTTGTCGGATGTACGGATCATGCTTTTGAACGTGTATTCAGAAATTGAAGGACATCATAGAATTATAAAACACGTATGTCATCTCTTTTTTTAATTTTATTCGAAAATTTGACCAAAATTTCATTTCTTGTCCTGATTATATATATTCTCCTGCAAAAAAAGTTTGCAGCAGGTTTGAATGTATTTCATCGATTTTGTAACGATTTTGAAAATATAAATTTTTGGCCAAAATTTGAGAGAAGATATTTAGAAAATATTAAAATGTTATAAAATTTATCTTTTATAACATTTTCCAATTATTTTAATTTTAACTTAAAGTTATATTTACTTCATTTGTATTTACTTTTTACGTATTTACGCTGTTCACGTTATGCAGTACACGTATAAATATATATATTAGCTGGAAATATAAAAATATATTTGAGATGTACGCGCAATGTATGAAAACATATCCGTTTATATTTTCATACATCATGCAAGAATATATATATATATATCGATAAACATAAAAATATACGCGCGATGTATAAAAACAGATATAAAAATATACAATCACCTTTTGATGTCAATCTTACGATTGGACGACTATTGCTTTTACCTCGTACATACGTGGATCTGTCGCGGCTCTTTCTCTCGCTAGGCGATACGTTTCTAAAGTAACAATTCGATCCATTATAGAGCCGTTCCATTTATCGGGATTGCTAAATGGAGAACATCTGTCTCCCTTTCCATTTGTTTACTTATCGACGTAGTCTCGCGCGGACTGCCGACACGAGAGTAACCAAACGATGAAATCTCGCGTTTCGCAACGCGTTTCCGCGTCTGGCCGAGTTAAAAGCTTTTGGCCTCCTGTTCGTTTCGGCCAGGATATTGGTTGGCCGCCGTATTTCCGCTATCGTCGTCCAAACGAGAGAGAGAGAGAGAGAGAGAGAGAGAGAGAGAGAGAGAGAGAGAGAGAGAGAGAGTGAATAAGAGTGACATTGACAAGATGGCAGAAATCGGCCATTATCCCTCGTATCGTCGTTACAGGTGGAGCAGTGATCACCGTGCCGCCGATGAACCAAACCAAATTGGAAGGGGAAAAGGTGCAATTTAACTGCGAGGCTAAAGCTCTTCCCGGTAACGTGACCGTACGTTGGTTCCGCGAGGGTTCACCGGTTACGGAACTCTCGGAGCTGGACACGAGAGTGACGATCAAATCGGACGGTAGCCTGGTGATCAATCCCGTGAGCGCTGACGATTCTGGCCAATATCTATGCGAAGTGACGAATGGCATCGGTGATCCGCAAAGCGCTAACGCTTATTTAAACGTGGAATGTGAGTTGTATTTAATGTATATGTAGCAAATATACGCATAATGACGAGAAAGAAAGTAAAATATAATGATAATAATAATAATTGGTTGAATTTGCAGATCCGGCAAAAGTGACGTTCACTCCCACGGTGCAATATCTACCGTTTCGGTTGGCTGGTGTGGTACATTGTTACATAAAAGCGAATCCCACCCTTCAATACGTGACGTGGACGAAGGACAAACGATTGCTCGAACCTTATCAAACGAAGGATATCGTTGTGATGAACAATGGCTCCCTGCTTTTTACACGAGTCAATGAGAATCATCAGGGCCGGTATACCTGCACGCCTTATAACGCGCACGGCACGCAAGGAAGTTCCGGACCGATGGAGGTGCTTGTACGAAATCCGCCTGTGTTCACTCTCGAGCCGGAGCCGATCTATCAGAAAAAAGTGGGCGAAACGGTGGAGATGCACTGCGACGCTCAAGAAGCGGAAGGCACGCAGAAACCCACGATACAGTGGCACAGGGTATGGTGAAAGACGAATCTTTTTCCTTTCTTTCGACCGTTCCCGTTCTTTCTCTCTCAAGAAACTCGAGAAAAACTTCGCGATTTCGATTTTTTTTTTTTTTTTACAATTTTCAATTCGGCATCTCCGCCTCGTCAGTCGTGTTAAGTCGCTTGGTATCGCGTTATTTAATTGCGCAGAGGGATGGCGCGTCCATCCAACGAAATCGGGCCAAGACCGTCGGCGGGAATTTAACGATCGAAAGCCTTCGCCGCTCGGATTTCGGCTTCTACCAATGCGTGGCGTCCAACGAGGTTGCCACCATATCGGCCTCCACGCAATTGATCGTCGAAGGCACGCAACCCCACGCTCCGTACAACGTAACCGGTACCGCGACCGAGTTCTCGGTCACGTTGACTTGGTTGCCGGGATACTCTGGAGGGCCTGATTATAAACAAGACTATACCATCTGGTGAGTGAGCCTGCTGCTCTCCTCGTAGTTTCGTCGAGTGGAATGTATCGAGTTTCAAGTTTCTACTGTTCACTACTAGAAAAAAAAGTCTCGCGGGACGGCACAGGGGCAAGAGGGGTCCTTCGCTAGGACCGCCTATCCCCACTTCAGACGCTTTGTTGACGATCCTGACACCACACGCTACATAGCAGTGGAAGAGCTATAATACGAATATTCAAAATCGTAAAAATTATTTTTATTTATGAAGTTACATTAGGATAATCATCCAAGACTGGAAACTGAAATATTTTTGAAGCTAACTAGTATGTTTAACTTATTCGTATACGTATAATTATTATCTTAACTGTTCGAATACAAAATTATTGTTACATTTATAAATTATTGTTACAAATCATAATTAGCTTAGGCATCGAGGTTTAGAGATAGAGATCGTCGTATATGTGACAAATACCATGGTAGAAAATGTGTGTGAAAATAGGCGTTTCCAAATTAACCAATCAGACGCTGCGTTTCTTCCACGAGGCTTCTTTCCACCAATGAACTATAGATGTGAAACGATGTTTCTAATCGAATAGTATCCTTCGTTGTAACTTTGAGCGTAATGTAAACCACGATATTTGGGAGAAAACTCGTAAACGTTGCGCAGCTAACCTTATTAAAAAATCCTTTAAAGCATCAACCGATTCTATTTTCTGACTATATATATTTTCATTTTACGCAGGTACAGAGAATCGGGTACGTCGGAATGGAAGATGATTCCGGTAACTCCGTCGGGAAGCACAACGGTGACGATCAACAGTCTGACACCAGGAACGCTGTACGAGTTCCAAGTGATAGGGAAGAACGCTCTGGGCGATGGAATGTTGAGCAAACTCATCACCATCAGGACTCTTGGTAAACGACCTTTCAACTTTCGCGTAAAACGTGCCGTGCTCCGTTGCAATTTCGTTAGTTACGTTCCGGAATCCTCCGTTTCGCTGCAATCGTTGCGACTAACGACCTTTGCCCGACCGTTAACCCACTACTAACAAATCGTATCCTGTGCAAAACGTTTCCTTCTCTTTTCAATCGCTTCACCCACGAAGACGTGGCACTGACACATTCAGCGACTCCATCCTCGAGCGCCGGCCAAGTTGCAGCCACGGATGAAAGCGGTAAGATTATATCGTTCTCTTTCAAATCATAACGGACCACGCGTGTTCGATAATAATTTAATCGATATCCGCGAGAACAGATAGCATTCAAACGAGAGTCCGCGTTGTATTTGAACGCGATCGAGCATAAAATCGTCCGATTCCAACTCCTTTCCCTTCTTTCTTTCTTTCTTTCTCTCTTTGTCTCTCGCCCTCTCTGAAAACGGGCGAGCCAACAACAAAGAATCCTCGGTCGAACGGTTTCGCAAAGATGCCTTTGCCCCTCCCTCTCTCACCTCTTCTCGGCGACCGATCTTTACGGAGGTTGGTTGATCGTAGGTCGGAAAATACCGATTCTGCGAGAGAATTTCGCGAAAAAGTTACGGAAGGCAAAGGAAGACCGCGTCGAAAGGAGAGGCAAGAAGGAAGGGAAAGAAGATTTCCGTCGCGACTTATCGTATCGGAAAACCCATCGAGCCGTTCATTCTGTTTCCGCTTTTATTTCCTTCTCTCGAATCTGTCGGGTCATTGGTTTCCATTTGTACACACGGTGCACCTTGATTTTTCCCGCTCCAACTTGTACAGATTTTTATCCTATCTCTAAAAAGAGAAGAACTTTAATCTCCTCCTTTTTTTCCTCTTACTCTTTTCTTCTCTCTCTCTCTCTCTCTCTCTCTCTCTCTCTCTCTCTCTCTCTCTCTCTTTCTTTCTCTCTGTCCTGAAATTTTTGTTCCATCGAGTATATTTTGCGTTGGTAATACCGCGTGAAACTCGGGTTCGTTCGCTTTTACACTATTTCCATATTAATAACGCGTCGTGTTGAGATCAGAAATGACCGATGTTAATAATAAGTCGCGAATAACCGGTGTTTCGTTCAACGAATTTCCTCCCGTGCCACGAGAATCTAGATAGATATGTACGTACATATACACATCTATCCATCCATCCATCCATCTATTTCGCGGACTTTCTTTCCCCGCGCTTCAATTTCTGCCTTTTTCCGTCTCCCCTCTCCTATCCGTCGCTGTCTACGCATCAGCGGTCTCGAAACTCGTTAGCCCGCCTCGAGTAACGCGATTAAAGCCAGCTTAACGAGAATTCCGGTGGATCGGATTCACGAGGATCTTTTTCCTCCTCTCCGCTCTCCGCCACTCATTATTAAGGCACGACCAGTCACCCTAGCCGACCAACGTCTCGTCCTCGGCTCTGATTTTTCACCTTTTACGTTTTCTTTCCTTTCGTTTCAGACATCTTAGATCATAATACACTCATATTACCGACCGATTCCACCGGCAACCCAGTGTTCCCGCCAATCATGCGTCCGAAAGGTATCAGTTTCTTTTCTTTTCTTTTTATATTTTTACCTCTCTTCCTCTACTCTTTAATTCTATGATTTTCTTTCAGTTTATGTAAGTGATTGATTATTACATTGATTATTACATATATATAAGATCGTATTTTGTTCTTTTCTACGTTATATTATTTCGTTTTTTATCGATTATTTCCTCGTTTCTCCTTCCCTCGTGTCCAAGCGTTCAAACATCGCACCTCGATCGGCAAGTCGAACAAATACAAAAGAAATACTCTTACTTTTCACGGTATGCAAAAAACTTTTTTTGTCGTTCGATTATACGCAAGCCGAAAGAAAAAAAAAGAAAAAAAGATAAAAAAGAGTCGCGTAATCCCGTTAGCGAGAAAACACGTACTCGGGAAATAGCGAAATTCGCTTTTCACAGTGAATCGGTTTCTCTCCGTGTTTGTTAGCGTTGTTGTACCGTATTGGAACGAGCCGATTGTCTCGACTCGGTCAGACGAGCCACGCAAGTTTCGACGAACCGGAACTCTGCGAATTTCCATTCGAATTTTTTTTTTTTTATCATTCGTTCAATGCGAATTTCCACGCGGTTTATTCGATATCCGTCAGAATTAAAAAATAAAAAAAAAAAATCGTAGATAGAATAGATATATATGCGAAATAGCAATTCGAGGAAGAACATTGTCTCCGTTTCGATGCCTCGCTCGAAAATCCATTTATATTTTTATGCGTGCGCGATCAAAGGGGGGGAGGGAAGGGGAGAAGTGCGAGTATTCGAACGCGTGTTTGCATTTCCTAATGCACGCGTAGTGTGGCCGGTGCAATTTATTCGATGCACGAGCGCGGAAATGAAGTTAACAAATAGGGGGCATTGCAAATACCGCAAAAACGATCGCAAAACGAACGCGGTCACCCCCGCGTGTATTTTTCTTTTTTTCTTTTTTTTTTTTTTCAATCGTGAAAATTTATCGTATCGTTTAACGATTGCAAATAATCGCGAAATAATCGACAAGTGTCGGAATTTTGAATCGAATTTTGTCACGCGCGTACGTGTTTTTCTTCCCCCTGCCTCTTTCTCTTCCCTTTTTCGATTTTTTCTGCCATTTCTTTTCCGAGATCGAAACGAGAAAAGAGAAACGCGATAACGATGTTGACGTAACTTCTCTCGATGGAATCGGAGACGCGTGATCTCATCTTCTTTCGTCACTACTTACATACATAATGTTACGACCTAATTACTTCCGGCGTTGATTCGTTAGTTTTATTAGCGGTCGTAATCCCAATTTCGCCGTTGTCCCCCCCCCCTCTCTCTCTCTCTGTAAACGTAGTGAAGTAACACGTAGGAATAATAATAACGTTGGACGAATGGCCGACGGAAGTCCTCGAGAAAGGGAATCACGAACGTGGAAACGTGCATAAATCTCTCGAATTTATTAAGAAAAAAAAAAAAGAAAAAATTCTTTCGTTTCAAACACGTTCGTTCAACTACGTCAGCCACTTATTAATCATGGAATCTGAATCGTCAGGACCAAAGCCAGGTCCTCCGAAAAATTTGACGGTGACGGAGGTCAGTAACGGTTTCCTCATTACCTGGGAGGCCCCTGTGGAGCGTAATCATCTGATTCAATATTACACCATCAAGTATAAGACGGACGGGCCGTGGAAAACGCTGAACAAGGGACAGATCCGAGCCGAGGAGACCAGTTATTTGGGTATGTTCTTTTTCTTTCTTTCTCTCTCTCTCTCTCTCTAACTCTCTCTCTCTCTCCTTCCTTCCTTTCTTATCTTATCGTATAATAGAATCGAAGAGAGAACGGAGAAAGATGATTAAACGAGGAGTTTTTTTTCCTCCCCTCCCCCGTTTTTTCTGTTTCACGGCACGCTGAACACGGCAACGAGTACAGTGAAAAATCTGGTCGGTGGTAGGACCTATTATTTCCAAGTGTTCGCGAATTCGGCGACCAACTACGGTGCCAGCGATCAGGTGAAATTCGCAGTCCCGGCTCGGGTGAAGCACAAGGCGATCACCGCGGGCGTCGTCGGTGGTATACTTTTCTTCATTGTCGCGATCATCCTGAGCATATGCGCGGTGAAGATTTGCAATAAGCGGAAAAGACGAAAACAGGAGAAAGGTAGGGCTGCGTCGCTGCGAGACGCGTCACTCGGTCCTATATATATATATATATATATATATATGTATGTGTGTGTATATATATATCGTAGACTTGTATCCTTACGAATCTGGCCCTGGGCACCTGGGCTCGAGGTCCTCTTCTCTCTTTTTTTTTTTTTCTTAATTTCTCGATTAGATTGAACTGACGAGCCGAGCCGAGATGTAGAGTTAATTTCCCCTATTATTATTATTATTATTATTATTATTATTATTATTATTATCATTATTATTATTATTATTATTATTAATATTATTATTAAAAATTGGCGGGCATTGTTTGCTGGAAAAGGAGAGAGGGAAGAACGACCTGGTAACGCAGGAGCTGGGCAAGCAACCTGGTCAACCTGAACTGTTTACTCATTTAACATAATCTTGTAACATTGTAGAACTGCTTTCAGCGTATAGTATGGTGGCCTGCCGGGTCACCGACGCCAGGAACGGCGCAGGGCAGGGGCCCCAGGGAACAGTGCCTTTGAAAAAGTGAGTGTCCATCTCCGAAACTTTGCTTTCCTCCCTCCCCCCCCCCCCCTAAAAAAAAAACAGGTTTTTTCTCGCCACTTTGTTCATTTAAGTTTCTCGACTCTTCCTCCGATCGGGAGGAATCTCTGTCGGGGAAGATCGATTATAACCGAATCAGAGGACGTAGACCGAAAGGAGAGATCGTATCTGCACTCGTACCGTTTCTGCTACCTTTCTTTCCATTGGATTATTCTTTTCGAAAATTTATCAACGTTTCGATTCGATGCAGCTACGATCTCCGAAAGATACATAAAGATACATATATATATGTATATATATATATATATAATGTATATATACATTATATAGATATATATATATATATCGATCACTTAGGTTTAGTCAGAGCTAGCGATTAAGTCCACTCCACCCCCTCTTAACGAGAGCATTAGGCGACCGAAGCACCGCAAGCATTTAAGAAACCTCTCACGAGTAATCAATAGCCAACAAAATATTCGAAATGTGTATACCCGACGTTATTATTACGCGTTATACAAGTGTCGGGAATATTGAGTATACATTATACACACGATCGACAGACGCGTATCGTTCGTCCGACAATCAATACCCTCTCGATCTCGACGATCGAGATGAAAGGAGGAAATCTTGGTCTTTCCACGGACGAACGATACGCTTATTCTTTAATCTCGTTAATATCTTCGAATAAGTTAGTATAGAATAAGCGAAGAGGGAGACTTATATATATATACTATATATAAAATATAGTAGGTCACTTTTTAACTTTTATCACATCGGTGGTTACGCATCCCCATTGAAACATATATATACATATATAGGAAAGTAACGCAAAAGCGAAGAATAGTAAACGAAAATAGAAACTCCTCTTTTGATCTTGCGCTATACATGAAATGGAAAGTACACACGAATCATCGCGGACGGATGAGTCTCGCGTAGCGATTAAAAATCGGCAGACTAAACCGCAGCAGCAGAGGTATTTTGGACGAGGTTTTGGAGAA